TGACTCTGTTAAACCTACGCGAAAATATTAGCGACAATAGGGGGTAATTTTTTTCTTCTCAATTATTTGATGGTCTTAAAGTATAAGTGCGAATTTGATGAAGAGGAGCATGAAAAAAGGGGGAGGAATGAAGCAAGAAATGGACTACTTTGTAAGTATTAAATTAAAATCACTTATCCCCATTCTCTTAATTATGACACTAACTATAACTAACCTATCATTTAATTATCGGCTTATCAATATTGCATTATTGCAATATTATTTTTTATTTATACAAGCTCTGTATCGTCGAGCAGGACGAATCTTTCAGTGCATGCATCCTGCATGACGTCGGTATCAAGTGGGCTCGAAACAGAAAAAATGTAAGAAAAACGACAGCCTATGTGGATGCACTGTAATTGGCAGTTTGTGTCGCCGTCGACGCTGCCGTCTTTTTATCTATCATGCATGTATGCACACACGACTAGTTGAATGCGCGGACTTGCAAAGCACGCGAGCCAGCTTTCGCGTGCAGCACCAAGTTCAATTCTCCGAGACTTCCTGTTCCCACGCGCTGGAAAAAGAAAAAAAAAAACAGAAAAAAAAGAAAAAAGAAAAAAAAAACAAGTAAGAAGAAAAAGAAGAAAAAGGAACTTCTCCGAAGAGTAAGTCGAAACAGTGGCGACTTGGCACTGAGCGAGGAGCCAAGGCCGACCTTTTTTGCGAAGAGGACACACACGTATCATCACGCAGCACTTGCTTCGTTGAAAAATTGTCCGTGGAAAATGATTTAGAAAGTAGAGAGTCTGTCCGTAAAATATGATTCTTGTAAATTTCAACGGACTCTGTATTAGGGAAGAAAATGTACGGCACGAGATTGCAATTCATGACACACAGCAGGCGAATTTTGTAATCCCCAATGAAGGCTCCCGTAAGATAAACATCAACAATACACTCACTCGATTATTATATTAATTCAACATGCTTCTGCTTATATGGAGGAGTTAAAATTTTCTTTTCGTCATGGAGATTCGATGAGATATTGCGAAACATCGAAGAAATTCCCCCTTGCAAATACAATAATGAATTTATCCATGAAAGTGGATAGTGGAACGCTTTAGACGACATTAAACATGTCTTACTTACTCTGGTCGATCTATGGAAAATTAATTGAACGTAATTCTTATATTTATTTTTTATGACAATATTAAATGTATGAGCGTAATAACGGAGCGTACAAACACATTATAAAGTTTCTTTATAATTTTGAACAGGTTGGAATAAACAAAGTTATACCCAACAGCATTATGTACTATTGGAGAAACACATAGAGAAATTTCAAATAATTAAAGTTGTACTTGGAAAGTCATTACTAAGTCATACTACCGTTCCAATTACATTTATTAACTTAATGTTGCGTAGCTCGATATTGGCGAAATATTTCTATATCGGTTAAAGTATCCGCCATCCGTGCTTGCGATGAGCACGATAATTTACGAACGGCCGATATTGAAAATGGAGGAAAAAATATCTATAAACTGCTGTGCACGCTATGACCTAAGATGGTCCATAATGTAATCTTAGGCCCGTGAAAGAAAGCGCAGAAATGCTTAGGTGAGTATCGTTAAACGCCACAGTCCGAGTCACGTTAATCGCGTAAGATTTTTATAACAGTTGGCGCAATCGACCGCCCCAGACCAATCCCAATCTGCACCTGCGAGGTCCTGCGCGAAATCCTAAATCCCGTACGAGGGGACAGAGAGGCCCCCATACCTTTGCAGCATCAGATAAGGCTCCTAGAGTCAACAAGTTGTCCCTTTCTCGCGACTGCTCAGCAATTTCGTGCAAGTACGGGGGATGACTAGTCGACCTTCAGCTTAAGGGAAAAGTGGGCCACTCGAATCAATGACACGTCGGTAAATAAGTGTTAGCGAAGACGATGACAGCGGATGGGTCCGGACAAAGTGTTAGGAGCTTACGCTCTACCTGCCCAAGCTCTTCGTCGCCGCGATCAGAGTGCTTCTGTAAACAATGTACTACGAAATTGCAGAAGCCGAGCGAGGTGACATTTTATTTCTATTTGTTCGCACGATAATCTTGAAAATTCGTTGTGCAAGGCCATGGATTAAGAATGTAAAAATAGTCGAGCCTCGGTCTTGGCTTGGTTAATTATTCGAAAATTGACGCATTTCTTCATCGGGAATAATTATAAAACTGCTCATTGACGATCGTGCAACGTTAACCGTAATTGTTTCAACCCAATGCAATTATGCCATTGATTTTACAATTTTGTCCGTTAACGCGTCCGATCCGAAAATGTATATTTACGTAATAAATAATGGCGAATATTGATATACAGGAAGGAAAGCCCATGATGCATTGTTGTAGTATCTCTCGGCTACTCGGATAACCTCGATGGTTTAGATAAAGCGAGAGAGAGAGAGAGAGAGAGAGAGAGAGAGAGAGAGAGAGAGAGAGAGAGAATGTAAAATAATAATTCGAGCAGCACGATGTACCGTGGGTATGCATCTATGCATTATTATTGACGCTTCGACTTTCTGAAAAAAAAAAAAACATATATATTTAAAACAAGCCTATTACGGGTATGTGAGTATGTCTCAATCGATTCTCTCCATTTGTCCGATGACTGTCATTTTAAAACCACATTTGTCGGCAGATAGTTTCATTATAGTCCTAAATAAATATAACGTAAAGTCATAAAAATCGAATTGTTCGTTCCAATTGATATTATTCAACCGGCTGTGATTAGCAAAACATTGTATAAATGGCCACTGATTTCCCTACTTTACGTACATTTCAACGTACATGCACCTCCGTATAAATCGTTTCGCGCATTCTCTCCTCAAACCAAGCAATTACGAATTTCAATAGACACGGATAAATGGATAAGTGTTTTTGTGCGCGGGCGAGCGCGCGCGCGCGAGTGTTTGCCGTAAGCCTCTCTGTAAAATTCTTAAGAATAAATAGCCCAATTTTGAAGATGAATTAAAAGAATTATTTCACTCTCGCGGCATAAGAGCAAAGTGAAATAATTGCTAATTAATTATACAGTGGTGCGTTTTCATGACTTAAGTGCTTACGATAAATGTTCACGTATTTATTTATTAAGCGTCAATTTCGACGGCTATCGCCTACCGCCGCGATTCATGAATATCCCATAAACATTTCACGTGCTATAAATAAAAATGTAGCTATTTCATCGCCCTGAGGCTAATCGATAAATCAGCAGCGGTTTCGAGACTCTCGACTCATCACTAACGCTCACCCGGTAATGATGGTTACATTGCTTTCGCGCGTAGATAGAGAGTTTTCACGGTTCGCGACATAACGAAGCCCAGAGATCGGTGGACGTGGATGGCCCGGGGTGCGAGAGGAACGTGTGGCCAATACGCCGATTAGGCCAAGAGCCAAAAAGGAGAGCGACGAGTCCGAATCCGTCGGCTCTGGCTGTTGAGCAATTTCTGTTCGTCTCGGCTTCCGTAGCGAGGTGCGATCGGCCACCGGAGGCTGGGGCTCCAGGTGTAGGACAGAGGACGAGCCGAGCCAAAGGACGAGTCGTCGAGAGATTAAAGAAGGAAACCGGGATTGGTGTGTCGGTGTGGCCCGGCGTGGTAGTCGACCTCGAGGAGCCTCGGCCAGGTACGCGAGCCGCGCACACAGCTCCGGCTGATGCCGCTCGCGCGCGCACCCATACACGCGGCGCCTCGACTCGTGCCTACGGTGGGGGAAGTGGGTTAACTCGGCGGCTCTGTCGCCGCCCACCGGCCACCATAATGGCCCTGCTCGAGCCAACCGGGTGCCACGATCGCGCAGCGCTCTGGTGGGACAGGCTCCCCTCGGCCAATGGCCCCTCGCGGCCGCTCGACCCTGGGCGGGAGCGACACTGGCGACGCGCGGCGGTCGCGCGCAAAAGTTCCCAGCCGGGCTCGGGGAGAGGCTCGGGCTTCATTATGTATCATTATACCGGTCCACGCCGCGCGGTGTGCACTGTGCGTTGGCAGTTAACGACTGGGCTGAGGCAAGGCGCGCGTGTATCGCCTTTTGTCGCTCGCTTGCTCGTCCGTACCTTCGGACGCTCGTCCTCTTAGGCTCGCGTTCGTATCGCGGCCGCGCACACAGGCGTTGCCCCCGGCATCCGGGAGCCTCGTCGTCGTCGTCGTCGTCGTCGTCGTCGTCGTCGTCGTCGTCGTCGCGGCCAAGGAGACAGGGACTCGCGAGTCCCCGAACGGCGGATAAGCCTAGAGACCGCTAGTGTGTGCGCCATGGATAAGGTGTGACGAGATCCCGGTTGCCGTGATACATCGTTAATTCGAGTCAGTGCGACGGCGGGACGGGCTGGACTGCGGGGAAGTGCGCGCACCGGACACGTAGCCGTGCCATGTGGATGAGCCGTCCTCGCGGATGCGCAGCCCGGCCGAGCGAGAATTTAAGCCTCGTATTTAAGCGAAGCTGACCTACGCGGTGCGCTAGGACCGAGTGCTCTGTGGGACGAGGGTTGTGCGTGGCCCGAACTCTCTCCTCGCTCTCTCCCTCGCCAACTATATCTCACTCTCTCGCTCTCTCACTCTCTCACTCTCTCTCTCTCTCTCTCATTCTCTCTCATTCTCTCTCATTCTCTCTCTCTCTCTCTCTTTGTCTGTCGCGCGATCGGGACAGCCGGACGACGTGGTGTGCTCGTGCAGAGTGGTGAGCGCGTAATCCAAGAAGCGAGCCCGAGCGGCTCGTTATGCGCCCTCGCACCGCCGGCTGATCCCGCCGACGCACCAGGAGTCCTTGGAATTAGGCTCTAACGGCGACAAGAGCAAGAGGAAGAGGAGAAGAAAAAGGAGCAGGAGGAGGAAGAGGAGGAGGAGGAGGAGGAGGAGGAGGAGGTGGAGGAGGCGGAGGAGGAGGTGGAGGAGGTGAAGGCGAAGGATAGAGGAAGAGAAGGAAGAGGAAGAAGCGGAGGCAGAAGAGGAGGAGGAGGAGGAGGAGGAGGAGGAGGTGGTGGTGGTGGAGCGAGAGGAGCGGCTGCAGGAGGAGGACGACGAAGGAGAGGTGGTGGTGGTTAAAGAGGAGCGCCTGGCCCCGCGGGAGCCGGCGGAGGAGGCCCGCACGTTGAGGCAACGGTCGCGACCCGGTCGCGTCTAAGGTGGATCTTCGGGGCGCCACGACGACGCTCAACTTCACGGACCTGGGGAGCCCATTCGGGGCGGGCGACCCCTGTCCGTCGAGTACCCCGACCCCGAACAGCATGTCGGGCGGTGGAGGCGGTGGCGGCGGCCCGTCGGCCGGCGGACCGCCAAACGCGACTCCGGGCCCGGGTGCGAGTAGCGGCTCGGAGCTCGAACAGCACCTACATCATACGATGGGCTCGGTAACGCCGGGCCCCGGCGGTAACGGGGCCGACAGCGCCTCCAGCACACCAGTCTCCCAGAGCGGCAAGTCCGCCTTCATCGAGCTCCAGCACAACAACCTCTATAATCCGAGCGGCCTGAGAACGGCCGGTTACCCTGGTGGGCACAACGTACCCGGGGCCCACCAGTTCTCCCAGCATGTGGGCGCTCTCGCGGGTCACCAGGGCTCCCAGCCCGGTGCCGGCAATCAGCAACACGGCCCCGAGACGGGATTCCCCAGTCCCAGAAGCGCTCTTGCTGGCTATCCCTTCGCTCCCATGCACCAGCACAACGCCTACGGGTATCACCTGGGCTCCTATGCGCCCCAGTGCCCTTCGCCGCCCAAGGACGGCGAGTACCCTAACTGTACGTATAACGAAATCCTCTATTTCATTGGGTGTTGAGGCGTATGGTGCGCGACCACGGTGGGCCGACATTATCGTCGTGCTCCTAACGCGATTAAGCTTCGAAATCGGCCAATCCACTTGTCCTCTAGTGCACACATTTTGCGCAATTACAATCATCGATGCTTTCATCTCTCTTTCAGCTCTCTCAGATACTTTCAGCCTTAAAATTTCTTTTCTCTTTCGCATTGTCTTTGCCATTGTCTTACATTTTCGTTCTTTCATTTGTTGTTTTTCTCTTTTCTTTCTTTTTTCCCCCCTCCTTTTCCTGATTTGTCGATAATATTATGAGGATTATCTTCTTGGTGCTTTGTTGCGCTGTAAAATTGACACGCCGAGTCTAACGACCTACGGCTAATTTGCCGTTAAACGTGAAATTTAGCGAGGAGCAGTAGCTTGCGATAACATTGTATTATCAGGGAGTTAATGATTTCCGGTCATTTGACATTTTTACTCGTTGGTGAATGAAAGTTGCAAGGGCTACGTCGGGACTACGTGGCAGGATTCTTACGCGCATGCTTGCAGCTAATCCAAGTTCGTTGAGATCGACTGAAATATTATATTGCCAAATTGCTTCTCGACTCTCGCGCTTTCGACGAGCAACTTTTTTACGTACTGTTGTTCGCCACTGGACACGAATGTAGCGGAGCGACGGTCTCGAATATTAACTAATTAATGAGCAGGAGGCCTGATAGGGTTTTTGAGGTCGCTTGACAATCTAGCCGCGATAACGGGCGCATAAACGAGCGACGCCGGGATTAATACGGCGATAGGGGTGAGGGGGAAAGGGCTGACATTTGCGAATTACCTGTGATGGAAGTCCCGTGGAATTCTTCCGCAATAGTTGCATGACGACAGCGTGTCTGACGGTGCCACGGCATTCGCCTCGCCAAAGTCACCGAGACTTACGGGTCGATAAGCACGCCACCCGACTCCGTTAAAAAGAGTCCGAATAATAAAAATGAGCTTTCCCCGAAGTAAGTGGGAGAAATTTTGGAGGAGTCGATTCTTATATCTTGAGCTACCGACGAGCTCCTTTCGGCTCCGGTCATTGTGCGCGTGAGTGCGCGTGCCCCTCTTGAGCGAGCGAGATGAGCGAGATGATAAATCACTCGAGAAGATTTGGCTTTTATTAGATGGATGTCTCGGCGGGTGGCGCCGGGGGTCCCGAGTCCAAGTCGTAAATTTTTCCTATTTTGTTGGGGACACTGATATTTAAATCGTGGGCTGCAGGATGAATCCGAAGTAGCAGGTATCGATTGCGACGAGCTGCTTGCTACTTCTCACACGGCAGGAGCAGCAGCAGCAGTAGTTCAGTCGGAATGGAGAAAGTGCGAGGGAAAAATTGCTCCCAATATAATAGCATATTAGCTGGTACATTGATTTCCGACAATTTACTTGCTGCAGTTTTTCCGAGCCTAGTTTTCCTCTTCGGCTTCTCGAGGCAAATTTCATAAATGCCATTGACCAATCGCTCAGCAATGCAATTATATTACGCGCAATTAATGAAATTATAATTCAATATCAATAAATTTAATAGAATACATTCCCCCCCCCCCCCTATTAAGCTTTGTCGAAGGCTGTCGAAGCAAATGTTTGATAGAATATCAATGTACGACAAATATGTTGATAAATATCGCGATCTAATCGATTATTAACACCCATACCTGATTTATCGTTTCATGTTGTATTTGCTTTAAATATTATACATTTGAATATCAATATTCAAGTAATAGTTGAAAAATATTCTTAAGGCTTCTGTTTCGATATTCTTCTGCGTTGTTTTAAGAAAAATTGATTAAAAAAAAAAAAGAAAAAACAAACAGAAGGAAACAAAAGAAAAGAAAACAAAAAGAGAAGAGAAAAAAAATTCTTCAAATTTAGGTAAGTAAGAAATGAATAATCGTCAAAACTTACTTACTCATACTCGAGAAGTAAATCGATATGTGCATAAAGAAAAACTTTATTTTATTTAAAGAAGGCTTTAGACTCATTTAATTTTTACACCATATATATATATATATATATATATATATATATGTGTGTGCGTGTGCGTGTGAGTGTGCGTGTGCGTGTGCGCGTGTGTGTTTTTTCTTCTCGCGTACACGCACATAATATCCACTGGTAGAAACTGGTAGAACCGCGGGAGGGACTTGTACGGGACGATATTTTGAAATTGTTCCTCGTGCATTTATGCGGTTACGTGCACGTGACTCATTAGGAATAGCGTTTCTTTCCCCTCTCCCTCGAGCGCCGTCAATCCGTCGCTCTATCCCTATCTGTCGGTTGGAGCGTCTCTTTATCTCTCATCCAACGGGTCGCGACCCTTCAGCTGCATCACGCGACTCTAAATCGACAGAGGTCGCCAGGCTGTAATCACGTACGAGAAAAGTGCATTTTCTACAATTTGAATAACTTCGTACTTGACCCTTTGCGGTCTTCCTATCAACGGCAATAGTCATAAAGACGGCAGTTGCGACCGATGTCGTTCTACTATTAATTCTTGATGGCAGGCGTATGCGTAGTGAAAAGGGTTGGAAATATCGTTAAGGCCGAGCTTATGGGAAATATAGTTTTCCCCGTGTGCAATAACTCGCGGCTTTGTGGTCGGAAGTTCAATGGCCATCCTACCGTTAAGTCTTTTTATAATTATTAGTCAAGTACGGGCTGTGTTGTGAAAACTTTTATTCTTTTACGATATCGTTTCCAACTGCTTACGCGCGTCATGAAAATGATGGCAAATTGTGCTGAAATTGCCCAAGACGCGTTAGTACCGAGGTTTGAAAGATTCAGCGCCTTGGTCGTTTCCAATGTAACTTGCCTCGTAATAGCTGTCCATTAGACTTCCTTAGAGTAATTCTTTTCCTCGAGAAGAAGAATTAAACATGCATAAAGTCAGAGCTGTACTGTTACGTTGCTTCTTTTTTTCCTTTTCTTTCTTTCTTTCTTTTTTTTTTTTTCCTCTCCTTTCTTATCATTCATGTTTTTTTCTTTCTTTCTTTCTTTCTTTCTTTTTCATTTACAGAATGAAGAGGCGCAATTGGATAACTTTATCCAGTGGTACGCAAATTAGTTAAGAGGCGTGCATGTCCCCGTGAGCACGAGGATGGCTAAAATGTCGCTAAGCCACATAAACTCGGCAGCTCGTTAAGTTCTTTAAGCGAAAGACTTTATCGATCAGCCATCCGACTCGGAGAGTATCGCAGAGCTTGCAATTTTCTTCATTCATCTCCCCTAGCAATTATCATTTTTTAACTATCGGATGCTAATATATTTTTATTTTATTTTTTCCAAGCGATAATTTGTAATTTCAGTTGGCAGAGATCGAACGAATGTACAAGCGACTTCGTGCCATTTTATACTTTTTCTCACCTTTTATATTGTATGCACAAAACTTAAGACCCCAAGTGATTGTAATTTGGCAAAACAAACGAAAAAAAAAAACAAAAAAAAAAAACAAAAATAAAATGGGATTGAATCGTATCGGCTGCTTTGAAATTGCAATTTTGCGTTATTTAAATGAGCGATCTCGCTTTTTATCCTCGAAACTATAAGCTTCGAATAATACAGCAGTAATTACGGCAATTAAACGGAATATCATTTTTACGCGATAAGGTCTTGATAAAATCGGATACACCATAAAGAGCTAAGGCGTATTACGTTATGATCCAATTGAAAGGAGGGTACGCATGACGTATCTCTCGTTAAAACAAGTACAACTTGGCCGACTTTATCAAAAAATTAGAGGCGCTCATGCGCGCAGAGGCTTTATTAATGGGCCAATTATTATTGTAGGGACCAAAGTGTCGAAACGCTCTTGAGCGCTGGCTGAGCAAATCAAAGGGCAGAGGGATACAGCGATATTAGTGAGTGAGTGAGTGAGTGAGTGAGTGAGTGAGTGAGTGAGTGAGTGTGTGACTGGGCAACGCGGATACCTGACGCACTCAAGGCTAAATTAATACAGAAGAGGCAGATAAATGCTTGCTTGCATAAGGATTAGAGCGAGTCTCTGGATTGTTTCGTCTCGTGCCCTCGCCCGCAGATGCCGTAGTCCTGCACGATCGCGTTTCCAAAAATATGGAGAACCTGCCGATATTCCCCAGCAGCTGACGACCAGTCGGTAACCCCGAGGATTTCACTTTCGGCAAGAGAAAACGATGCGGGCAGCCGCGGGA